TTGGTCCCCGCGCCGATCCCTGATTTGCATAGGGCTCGCGGCGCCCCGGCCGTGCCGGCGCCCAGCGCGGGCAGCGCTGCGGCTCTGCCCCGGCTCCGGACGGGCCCGCTCCCCAACCCGCGGAGCGCTTTCGTGGCTGCGCCGCAGCCGAGGAGAGCGGGTTTGGCCAGAGCCCCCGTGGGTGTCCCGGCAGCGCTGCTTCTCACGGGTGCCCCGCTTGCCTTGCCCGAACTCATGGCCCCCGCCCCGGCCAGCGGGATGCCTCTCCCGGGAGGATGCCAAAGCCTGCGGGCGGGGGGTGATGTTCCGGGGGAAAGAAACCCCCCATGGGAAGAGGTGCCCGCAGTAAGCACTACCCTCTCTTGTGTCATCACGCATCAAAGGGGCAAGTTGCTCCCCAAACAGTTTTTGGGGACAGGTCACGCCGGGTGGATTGACTCCTCGCCAGGTTGCTACAAACAGCGTTGAGCAAGCAGCCAGGCTCCAGTTTAAAGGTGATGTAGTTCAGCAATAACATCTCCTCATTAAACACTCAGCATAGGGTTTTTTTGGTGATGCTGCTGCTGGAGCTCACAGCCTGGAGGGAAATAATCTGTACCCTGTGTCTTTGCATCGCCCCTGACTCCCCAAGGGGAGGATTATGTTCCCCAGAGCAGGGAAAGCTGAGCATCCCCAACTCATGCTCAGTATCTTCGCTCCCTCCGCAACTGGAGACCTGAAATGAATTTGAGATGAGCTAGTGACCTTTGGAAAAGCCTGATCCGCAGTTAGCACCGACCAGGCTAGGTCAGCTGAGCTGCTCATCTTGGAAAAGTGATGGCTGGGCAGGGAGAGAAACCTCCTGCAACAACAGGTACCCCAGTGACAGCCCACAGCCTGAAAACCTATTTATTCTGCCAGGAACTGCTAATACAGTGATTCTCTTCCCTCAAGTCATGGTGGGAGTGATGAGGAGCCAGCTAGCAAGAGGCTTTCTGGCTAGAAGTCCTAATCCATCCCTGCTTCCCATAAGCCAGGAAACCTGGGATCAGCTGCTTCCATAGCACGCGAGGGATTCAGAGGCAGATTTCGCTCCAAGAGCGCTCAGGTCTCCCCAGGTATCCATCCAGGGCTCCTGCCCTGGCTCTGCTATCCCTCCCCAGGGACAAGCCTCACCTACAGCCACCCCTGCAGCTCCCTAGGAACAGATGATTCAAAATAAATTCCCAGGGAGTATCTTCCACTGGTAAATGGAAATGCTCCAGCAATGTGGTCCTGCCAGTACCATCAGAGCTCAGCAGTGGGTAGATGGTCTTCCCCTCAGCACATGGAGAGGAGGTACAAGCTCTGCCTGCGAAAGAGGAGCACTGGGCAAGGGGGGACACAGACAGGCACATGGACAAGGGCACTGCACAGTCAGCCAGTGAAGCCCATTTTATTGTTTCCAATACAAAGGAAGTACTGATTTCCAGCAAGGATTTCACCGTGTAAGGCTTTTGGTCTGTAACATCTGGCTGTGTTTACAAAATCCCTGACCTCAAAAACAACAGCCCTATGCTGCTCTGTAATGGCACTTTGGTTATCTGGGCTTTAATGAATGACCTTTATGAACAAGGCAGAGTGCATCCCTCCACAGATCAAGGAAATCCTCTCTAAGTCTTCAAATCCCATTAACAAAATGACTGTACAAACAACGTGACTGAGACACACTGTTCCACCCCGCTGCCCGTAGGGAAAGCCAAGCAAAGTGCAATTCCTCCCAGGCACTGCCTAAATATCTCCCTGTTTAGGAGCCATGGATGTACGTGGCAATGCTGGTGCAGAGCGGGATGGCTCTGGCAGATCTTCCCAGCCTGGAGTTTCCTTATAATATTTACATCTTGTTTCTCTCTACTGCAGCCATCTTTTGAGGGAGAGAGTATTGGAAAGGAATTTGTACAGAATCAGTGTGGAATTAAGTGGAAAAGAGGTATCGGTTTAATACCAAAAAAAGGGAAGAGAAAAGCAAACAGAAGGAGACCTGAACTATGAACACTGACAGGAGGCAGAAGCTATTCCTCCCTGGCAGACTGAGATGCTTCTCAGGGCTTTATCTGTGTTTGGCACGAGTGACTGGCAGGGAGGGAAGCCAGGAGGTTATATTCACTCCCGTCAGCACAAGACAAAGACAAAATCTTTAAAGACGAATGCCAACTTTTAACAAAACACAAAGAACAGAGACAACAACCTAGAGCAGCGGATCAACACCTGAGAGGCTTGGACAATCTCAACACCAGTCTGCAAAGCCTTCCAAAAAAACGTGACTCACTCCACTTAGGAAAATCAGGAGTTAAAAGGATGGACAACCATCCCAGCTGGTGCCTAGGCCTTGCGCTTCTTCGCAGCTGGCTCTCCCTGCTTCCCCAGCCACTGCTGCAGGATATCTGCGCTGGTTTTCTTGGGCGAAGGGCTGTGGATGAACTGACTCTTCCACTTGGGCAAATCGTTTTCTTTCTTCTGGGGAGAGCCTTCCTGCGAGTTTTTTAACCAGCCCAGCAACACTTTGTTGCTTGGGGTGGCTTTGACCTCCTGGAGAGACAAAAGGCAGTGTGGGAGAGGTCAGAAGCATGGTAAGAGCAGGGCACTGCGAGAGCTGGTCCAGAGCAGGATGTGGAAGCTGAGCAACGGCCCTGCCTGCAACAAGGCACATCTGTGGGGGGCTCCCCAGGCTGCTGGGGAACAGGCTTGTTCCAAGACCCGTTTCACATGGAATTTGCCTCATTTGGCAGAGAAATCCTGGCACGGGGTGACAGTTTATTTCTGGAAGCAGAGGGAAGGGAATCTGTCCAGGGCACTGCTCTCCAGCATCAAGCACGGGCATGCCCTGCAGTTGCTGCCTGCTGCCACCCATCCTGCAGCCTGGCAGCTCTGTCCCAGCCCAGGGACACCACCATGACCGAGATCCCCCCTGCCAAGCCCCCACCAGCACCCACCTTCTTGGCCCCCAGCTCGATGGGTGCAACACACTCGGGGGTGTTATTGCGGATGCTGTTGACAAAGGTGGACACTGGGTGGAAAACAATGTTCTCTGTGGGCTGGATGAGTTTAACAGCTTCTTGAGTTGGCACTTCAGCAAAGTCCAGCCATTTCCTGATGGCTTCATCCCCGTCCAGGATGGCTGGCATCCTAGGGCATAAGACAGTTGGAGCTAAAGCTCAGCACCGACACAGCAGTGCGTGGTGGCAAAAGCCAGACTTGTAGCGAGCAAGGAGCTGGCAGTCTGGGGGGAAATGGGGAAAACTGAAGCAGCAGGATGCTCTTCTGCAAGGCAGAGCACACATTTGCTTCACCAAGGTGGCTGCTCTGCTGGAAGAGGCAGAGAGGTTGACTGCCAGACCCTGGTCAGGCAGAAAGTGATCCAACTCCAGAGAGTGATCCAACTCCAACTGCCTCCCACAGGGCACAAAGATGGTGATTTATGGAAAGGGCATGAGCTGGTGACCCGAAACAAGCCGGTAATGTTGTAGTGTTTTTCTCTGAGGGCAGGAAGAGGAGGCAGGGCTCTCTGCCTGCGTGCTGCCAGGCTGGTGTCCAAAGGTGTAGCTCTTCTCTCCCGCCCCCCTCCACCCTGCAGCCCCTTTGCCTGCTCTCAGTTACCTGTGATGGATGAAGCTCACGTCCTTGGAGGCATCCACAGTGATGATGGTGTAAGTGTACAGCATTTCCCCTCCCGACGGTGGCTCCCAGCAGTCAAAAATTCCAGCCATGGTGAGCAACCTCCATCCTTTCCACTCCTCATCTCCCTCCGTCCCCTCATCCTACAGAAGAGGCCCCATCACCCCGGTCAGTGCTGGCCCATGGGCAACCAAAGCAGCACAGATTTTCCAAAAACTAATCTGAGGGCTTTCCAGGAGCCTTTTTCCCGCAGGGAAGCCACCACTCTCCTCCCCTTCTGAACATCCCAGCCACCAGCTCAGCTGAAGGAAAGAGGTAGTGAAACTCCCAGCCCAGTCCCCTGGGAGCCACATTGCCCACCCATGCAAATACCCAGCACGTGGGGAGCAGCGAGCGTGACGGCGGGGACGCCGCATCACCTTTCACAGCCCGGGGACCGCCAGCCACAGAGGGATGTCAGAGTGCCCAGCCCACTGCTAAACACAGCCCTATTGGGAAAGAGGCTCCCAGAGATGTGCATAGCTGGAGGGAAAGGGGCTTTTCGCCAGGGAGCTGGAGGGAGTAGGGGCACAAGTGTTAAGACACAGCGAGGGACTCCATACCACGGCGTCCTTGGTCTGTGGGAAGTAAATGAAATACGGCTGCTTCCCCCCACTCTGCTGCTGCTGCCACTCGTAGAAGCCATCAGCCAGGACCACGCAGCGCTTGCCCTTGAGGAGAGCACCCTAGGGAGAGAAAGCACAAGCGAGCAGTGAGCAGCAGCCTCAGGCAGCCTGTAAGGGAGGACAGGGCTCCTGGGACCACCCAGCCCACTTGCTCCCTCTCAGGGCTTTCCTAAACTGCCCCGTGGGGTGCACAAATGCCACTAGTGCTAAGATGAGCTTCACCAGCAAATACCCTTTCAGCTCTATTTTAATGAAATCCACCAGTTCCACAGTACAGGGACTCGCTCCCCTGTACAGCAGGCAAGTGGTGACCAGTACGCCCCAGGGAGGTGCTTCAGCCCTGGTTCTGTCGACTACAAGATCTCTTCAAGCGGGACGCAAAAGCAGCAGCTCACCTTGTAGGAGGTCTTTTTCAGCATGGTGTCACTGCGGCAGTTGGAGGTGTTGAACTGCAGTTTGGAGGGGTCGTCATTTTTGAACCAGGAGGGCACCAGGCCCCAGCGCATGTCCATGAGGACCCGCTCCGAGGAGTCAGCATCCTTTTGAACGAGACAGAGAAACACCTCAGGTCAGAGCCACATCACAGGGACCATGAGCATCCCCACAGCTTGAGAGAGGGGCTGTGGGAGGTCCTGTTGAAGCAGCTTCTCCCCCTGCAAGGGAGAACCAGCCAGTATCTCTGCTGAGAGCTGAGCTGGGGCTCACCACCCCTCCAGCACTAACTCTGCCTCGGTTCTCCTGCAGGGATGCCACTCACAAGCTGTGCAGAAACAGCCACTGATTATAACCCTCTGCATACCTTTAACAACTTTCCTGTAAGAATTAATACTCAGCAGAAAGCACAAGAATATTTTGCAGGAATAAATAACTCTGTCTCACTGAAGCTCACATGACAACTCTCTGAAAGAATTAACACAGGTTCTTTTCAGTGGAAGTGGCTGGATACATGAACTCCCCAGCTCTTGAGTAAACAGCCATGTCAGGCTGGTGTCACAATCCTCAAAACGCCCCTGGTGACAGTGGGCGTCCCCAACAGGGTAAAAGCTTCACCTTCATTTTAATAACGTGATTTCTGCCGACCTGGTGCACTTTCACTCATGTTTTGCATATTACCTGCCTTAGGACAATGGAAACGGCTTGTGGTTTTCAGTTCTCCCCCAGCTCACTCTCGCTTTCTGCCCACACGTGCCAGCCCAGGCAGTGCCTGCTGGGGCGAGCGGGGCCCCAGGGCCGTGTGCTCCCATGGGACTGCAGCACATACACATACATGTACACCTGCCACAGGTGTGTGCATGCAGGGATGTGTATGTGCCCAGTTTTGTGAAGTCTTGCAGAGCCTCCTTCAGAACAGGAGCGGCAAAAAGGAACACCCTACACCGCACCAGCATCCCAACAACTTGAACAGCGATGGACAATCAGGTGGGTGTCTGCCTGTGTCCTGTATCATGTTTCCAGCCCCATACTCCTCTGCTCCATCAGCTTATTGCCTGCTCTCTGGGGGATATGGGACCCACAAGGCAGGAAAGGAGGGTATGAAGGATGCCTGGTGGCACTTGAGAGCGGTCCCACCGACGTGTCCCACCCCATCCCCTGTGCTGGTAACAGCTGCAAAGTGCAGCAGCCCCTTCTGCTGCCTCCCCAGCTGGGGAGGGAGAGCAGAGGGGGTTCAGAGCAGGGTGTTTCAATTTAGCACACCCTGTTTCACCCCAGTGAACGCCAAAGAGCAGCAGTTGGCTGGGCACCCTCTTATGTGGAACCAAATGAGCTGCTCAAAGAGCCGTACAGGCTGCCCAGGTTGTCTGGGGGAGGTCGGGTGAGGCTTAAATTAGCTGGGATAACGGTCACCACAGGTGTGCAGCTTCTGTACAGCTCTGAAGGTGAGATTTCTTCTTTTTTTTTTTCTACTCTCCACTACCATCAGTGTGACCTGGACACACGCAGCAGTGTTATGAAATGCAAACAAAAAAGCCTCAGGAAAGCCGATTAAAATCAGCAGATATAGGCATTTGGGAAAAAACCCCACAAACCTCTACTACGGCTAAGCACTCATATACACATTTCTGCAGAAAACATAAACAATATGCTGGAAGCACGGTACCGATTCCCCCCCCTCCTTCGGAACACGTAAATAATGAGACATTGTTTTCAATTAGAAAATGCAATACCTGCCACGTACAGCGAGCAAAGCGAAACCAAACAAGCCGCGGCCGCTCTGACCGGTTCCTACACCCTCTCCCCGGGACCCAGCACGGTCCCTTCCCCACCGCTCCGCTTTGAGCCGCAGGATGCCCATCACCCGCCCCTCGCCCCAGGGGCGCCCCGCCGAGCCGGGAGGAGGTACCTGGTGGAGGTGGCGGCGGGAGAGCAGCACGGGGCCGCTGGACTGCGGGCCCTTGTTGTAGGAGGGCTGGTACCGCTCCCCCCGCACCCAGTCGGGCTGGCGGCGGCGGCCCCGGCGGTCGCGGTAGGCGCAGGCCCGGCGGAGGTTGTCGGCGGCCAGGGAGCAGGCGGTGCGCCCGCACATCCCGCCGGCTCTGCGGGCCCGGGCACCGCGCTCCGCTCCGGGCCGCCCGCGGGGAGGGGCCGCGCCGGGGGCAGGGCCGGTCCGCGCCGCGGAAACGCCGGTCCCGCCCCCGACACAGCCAGGAAGAGCCACAATACGGTTTTATTGGAACGACACCGGGAGGAGGACACGGAGCGGTGGTCAGGGCCGCCCGCCGCGAAACGCTGCGGTGCGGGGGACAAAGCGCGGCGTAGGCAGAGCTTAAAAACATGGTGGTTTTATAGACAGAGACCCAAGTACAGCTGTACTGCAGAGAACACAAAAGCTGCTTTAGTGACCGCGATTCCTATTCTGCTGCCAGAGAAAGAAGCGTTGCCCGCGGGGGCTCGGAGTCAGGGCAGTCCTAGAGAGGGGGGTTTATCCGACGGAGGCCATGATCACATCCACGGGCAGCTCCTCCCCGCAGCGGGCCGTGACCTGCATCGTCACCGTGTCGGTCAGGACCAGACGAGACCGCACCAGGAGGTCATGGCCACCCCGGAACACACCTGGAAAGGAGAGGGGAAGGAAGGGGTGAGCGCGCTGCAGGATAAAAATGAACACTACTGCTTGGCACGGGCAGGTTTCCCACAGGTTGCCTGTCAAATCCCAGCACTGGGCCAGGAGAGACCCTCCAGCAGCATTATTCCCATTCATTATAATATATCTGGGACTCCTGCTACTGTAAAACCCATGAAAGCAAAGTGTAAAATAAACTTCAGGTGAGAAGAGATCCAGACACTCATCCAAGAGCTCCAGTACTGATCTGTTTTGCTGGGCAAGGCTGCTCTATTTCCTGCCCCAGACTAGTTCCAAACCAGGATGTCACATATCACAAAGACAGTAAATTCCACCCAGCTCAGCCTGGGGCTGATCCAACATCTCCCCACCACAACACCCTCCCTGATCCCAACACCAGCTACTCTACACTGCAGAGACAGAAACCATGGCAGGCAGAAGCCTCCAAATCCAACTTCAAATGCAGTGGGTTCCATTAGAAACTCCTGCCCCAATTTTCAACAGGCAGCTCTGTGTGACCTCCCAAAGAGCTGCTTCTCATGCAGAGACCTCACTCCACAGCTCACCTGCCAGGTACAGTGTGTGAGAGTTCTTGTTATCTGGCACTTTATCCGACCGCTCACAGGGCTGCATTCCCAGGAACTTCACGATATTGCTAACTGCCTCTGTTAGAAAAAATAAATAAAAGGGGTTCCATGTCACAGGTATATCTTAACAGGGGCACCTAAAGGTGACTCAAGCCTTTCCAATATCTTAGGGTTCATGTTCATTGTCTTGAGGGACACACAGCATTGGTCAGAAGGGTAGTTTTAGAGGCCACCAGGGAGGCAAAGGCAACACACAAAAAACCCACTGCCATGAGAGACTTGAGGTGCAACAGAAAGAAGAGGGTGAATGAGTCAAACAAGGGCAGTAGGAGACTGCAGCTGGCTGCACTTACTGCACAGCTCTGACAGCCTGTTCACCTCTCTGGAGAGAGATGCAGAAGGAAGGAAATATCTTGCAGGAGTCACAGGTCTTCAGGAGGAATGTGAAAAGGCCTCAAGGAGGGTATTTCAAACCCCAAGGGGCTGTGCAAGGGAGCACAGAGATGGTTACAGGACAAGGACACCCTGCTAAGGCATCAAAAGCACTGAGTTTTCACAGGCTTCTCAGTAAAAATAGGACTCTTTAATACATGATGAAAGACAAGAGGGCTTACACCACCAGCCTGCCCACCAACCTCATCTTCTGCTTTTTGCATTTTTTCTTACTGGCCTCAAGAACGGTGGGAGCCCACAGCTGAACTATGGTCTGTCTGCTTGGGAGGGTAAAGTGTGAAAACAAACCAAGATATTCTCTTGCCTCCCACAATCCTGGTTTCCACTGGGCCCAGAACACCCATTTGTTTTTTTGAAACCTGAGCTAATTTGTTATCGCAGTAACTGTAGCTCCACATTAAACAGCTCTGGTGAAAAGCTTATGAAGGGTTTTGCCCCATTACCCTTTTTGTGAGAGCTCTAAAGTGAGCCAGATTGGGCCTCCAGACTCTGCTGCTGGAGGGATGAGCTCTGCTGTGCTCAGACACCCCCTTCCTTACCTTCAAGGGTTTTAATAGCAGATAAAGTAAAGGTCTCTTCCTTTTCAAACTCGTCACCCACTTCATCCCAGGCTGCTCCAAAGTTTGGCTTCAGAACTCGCTGGATGTGATCAGCCACTGTTACCTCCAGGTCTTCAAGCTGGTGGTAGAAGAGGTTCAAGTGAAACATGGTTGTTCTTGACCCTGTTCTCCGCAGAGTGAACCTTAGACTGTATTCCCTGAGATCAGATGAGGGCAGGAGACTGCCTCCACTTCCACTTCTGGTTTGCTTGAGCAAACACTGCTTGTTTGAGCAACTGCTATGCCTGAGAAAGGCCCTGGTGATGCTCTTTCCAGGGCTTACAAACCAGGTTCCCCCTCTGAGCACAGCCCCTGGCCTGACAGAGATCAAAGCAGCCAAAACAGAAGGAAACCCAAAAGCTTAGAAACAGCTGCTTGTGCTCACACAGATACAGCATTTTCCCCTGAAATGCACATAAGATTGTGTTTTGCTTTTCTGGCTTATGGTTTTGTAGGTTGGTAGAGTGAGACACTGTCAGACATGTGCTATCACCTAATACTGGCACTGGGGTAGCTGAGCTGCTGCTGTGACTACACCTGTGCAAGGCAGAACTGGGCTTGTCCCTCCAGAGTGCAAACTGAAGGGCAGGCAGTGCCAGAGCTGGCTGCACACCAGCCTGCACTCATTTCAGCAATCACTGCAGGAAAGAATCTCCTCCCGATTCCAGTTGAAACACATGGAAGAGTTTGTTTAAATATCACTTGGTGACTTGGTGAGTGGTGGGAAGCTGAGAGAGGGGTTAACCTTGCACATTCCATTGAGAAAAACCCTCCCCACTCCTGCTGGGAAGACAGTGATTCACTGCACAGCAGTGCCTCTAATCAGATTCACAGCAGTGACAGGCAATGCATAGAAAACAGCCTCTGGAGCTAACAGGGCAAGCTGAGGCTGTGTACAACATCCCTTCCTCTTTGAGGAAGAGAGATGCTTCTGCAGCATTGGTGCTTGCAGCAATCTCACTGCTGGGGAGGGAAAGCCCCACGTTCCCCAGAACAAGAACAAGGATGGCAACTTTCCTGTACCAGGCAAGCCTCTAGACAGTTAACTGTGCCACCATGGGAGCAATTCATGGAGAATAAAAGATGCCCAATAGCCCTCTGTCTCCACAACCCTGAGTGTGCTATTGCTGCAGTCCATAGGGCACAGCCAGCCAAACCTGGGGGATGCACTGTGGCCCCCCAAAACTACATATCCTGCAGTCAGGTGTCCATCTGGAGAACAATAGGAGAATACTCCAAATGAGACAAGGCAAGCTCTGCAAACCCCCATCTGCATCCTTGGACAGATACCAGAGACAGCAAGAACTCTCTCCTCACGTGATGCTGCCCACATCAGTGTCAGTGGTCACATCACTGCTTGCAGGGATCCAAGTTCAGATCACAAACCCCCTCAAAATGACAGCAGTTTCCATGACCAGGTACATGCCCAGCTCCTTACCACATACTCATCCTCGTAACCCTCATCGTCTGTCTCCCCCGTGTTTGGGTCACAGTCCTTGACAGTGAACTTCATCATGCAGCTGAAGGTACAGGCCACTGGAGGCAGGAAGACAAAGGCAAAACCACAGTTGCCACCACATCCCCACAACTCTGCAGCAGAAGGGGCTGGCAGGTTTGGGGCAGCCAGGTTCTCCCTGTCACTGTCAGCAGCACAGGCTTAGCCAGTGACCTAGAAAGGGCTCTCCAACAGTTTGTGTCTCTCATGCACAAGGTATTTATTTGTGTATTAAGGCTAGCATACAGTGATAAGGACAGGCTCATGATGGTTCTACGAGACGATAATCCCCAGATCAAGTGCTATTAGTGATGAACCTCATGTTGTTTTGGGAATACTAACTACACATGTCCCACCAGCATATTGTGAAGAGGCAGGATCCGCATCTAGGGATGGGTTCATGCGCCTCTGAAATGAAACCACCTTGCACTGCAATGCTGCAGCTGATTAACAGCACTCAGCTGGGATGGGAGAGGAAGCGATGACTCATTCCTAGGAACTGGGTACTGCTGAGTGAACAGCAGCAACACACACAGGTGAGCAGTGCCAGAGCACAAAGCAGGGAGACCAAAGCACAGGTATGGCCTGGTTCATGTTCTGGACAGTGGCAAATGGGGGGATGTTCAGTTCAAACAGGCATCCCTGAAATTCTAGTGGTTTGTCTGAAATACCCCTTTGCTCCTCAGAGCATCTGGGGACTCAGAGCACTTTATAAGTTCCAGCCTCCACTCATCAAACATAAAGACAGACCGAAAAACATGCCAGAGTGCATGGGAGACAACTCAGCAGAGAGCTGAATGCTCATCTGCCAGCTCTCATAGCCTGACTCGACAGTGCTACAGTGCAAGGGAACCAGGAGAGGAGAAGGGAGGCCTGACAGCCCCCAAAAAGCAAAGACAAGTCATGCTCAGCATCACTCAGGGCTGCACCCACACACAGGCTATAAATATCTGGCTAGGATGCATGGTAGAATGTGTGGGGATGAACAATACAGGAAAAAACAGAGTGCAAACTGTTTACCTGCTGTCGGATCCTCTTCAGACAGTGCCACCAGCGTGTAGCAGGTTCCTGGCTGGTTGTACACCAGGGTTTTGGCAGGTACATAGCCAATGACCTCATACCCCTCTGTAGGCTCCATCTGCACTGTGACATTCTCCAGGATCTGATCGTTCAGGGTGTTTGTGCAGTCAAACTAAACAGGGAAGAGGAAGGCAGCAACAGCTTGAAGCTGTTCACTACTCATCTGATAGCAGGCTCAGCTTAGGCAGAGTGGGAGCCACCGTGCTCCTCGCTATCAGCTGGGCAATCACAGAGAATTTACAGGAGAAACCAAAACCCTGAAGG